TAAACAGTTTCCTAGGATAGAGGCTGACAAATTTTTTTCATAAAAGTCAAATAGTAAATATTTTAGGCTTACAGATCAATCATACTCTTCCTTTACAGTAAGCAAATGGTAATAGACAATATGTAAACAGACTGGGCATGGTTATGCTGAAAGTAAACTTTATTTATAAAACAGATGGCTGATCCATGGGCTATAGTTTGCCAATCTCTAATCTTCAGGTTATATTTCTGAGCAAGTTTTGAAATACGATTTCCATTAAGCTCTGCTAGTCATTTATCTGGTGAGACATGGCCATAGTCTCTTGAACAAGATGAGAATTTTAGCACTGTGGGGAAGAATTCTTACTAAGGTACCCTGTATCTCAGCTTTTTCAGTAATGGCTACTGCAGGCCAGCAGGTGGCAATGAAGTTAATGTAGCTGGATCCCACATGGCCAACTCTGCATTTTGAGTCCTAGACCTAGTGGCTTGAAAATCACACTGGGTAAGTGTGCATGCATGCTTGACCAAAGTGCAGAGAGAAGAGATTGTGGCACAGTCATCCCCCACAGGAGGTGATTTCTCACTTTCCCTCTCTCTCTGTCTCTCTCCAATGAGTGTTCACACCCTATAGTCAAAATTTTAAAAACTACCAAAAAAAAAAAATTGTGGCTGTTTCTTGTTACTATTCCTATATTTTTTAGAGCTTTATTTAAAATTTGTTGATAGTAGTAATTCTAATAAACTTCTTCTATGGAAAATACTGTGCAGCTTCTGTCTTCTTAAAAAGACCCTAACCAGTACACTGTTAGTACTCTTTCTTTATGGGATTTACCACTAACTGAAATTTTATGTACTTGCTTAATTCTTGTGTTTTTTGACAGAGCAGATGCATGAGAGAGATAAGCTGAGAGAAACAAACACCTTCTACCCCTTTAGGCCTGGTCACACTGAAATCCCCTTCCTTTAGTCCCCCAGCTCAGCAAGATCCTGAGCAGGCACACAGCTCAGGCTGACCAGATCAGGCACTTGAACTGCAGTTGGCTTATGGCTTCCATCTCCATAGTCCAACACACTACTGACTGTGTCACAGAGGCTGGGCTATATGTTTGCTTACTTAACTATTCTCCACTGGAATACAGACTCCATGAAGGCAGGTGCTTTACTTCACCATCAAATTAATTCTAAGTATGTAGCACACTGTCTAGTTATAACAGATTTACAATTATTTGTGACTGACTGGGTAAATGAATCTTTATCCAAATATACTGAATTATATTTTCAAAATATGAACTCTTGGATTGTACCAAATAAAAAGATAAATATTTCCTATTTATATCTGCTCTTTCACACATATCCATTATTCATTCATATCATTCTATATCTCTGTTTATGGCATTCCTTCAATTCCTTCTCTAAAATTAGTAAATGGGAACCAACAGTTAGCATAATGGCTATGTCGCTGGACTCCCACGTAGACGTCCGCAGTTCACGTCCCGGACCCAGTGGCTTAAAACTCATGCCGGGCGCGTGTGCATGCATGCCCAAGATCCTGAGAGGAGAATGGAGGAGAAGGGACTGCGGCGTGACCATCCCTCCTGGGGGGTGATTTCTCACTTTCTGTCTCTATGTCTCTCTCTCTCTGTCTGGCGAGCGCACATGCCCTATAGCAAAAACCTCTCCCCCCACAAAAAAAAAAGAAAAAAAAATAGTAAATAAACTCTTTGAGTGCCAAAAAGTGCCATTTCAGTGCTATTGAAACATGTGAGTCTCAAGCAATAAAACAGAGTTCTCCCTCTCCCTGAACATTATAAGGGGCAGAAAGTCACTGTATACTAGGAGGTGGGAGACTGGTACCTCTTCCTTAAACCTTATGGCAAGCTTCCAAATAGTAGTAACAGCTGTTACTTCCCAAATTAACCTCTTGGCACTCTTGATTTAGAACACTGAAAATATTCTAACACTTCAGTCCCATTACTTTAAAACTCTTTTCAGGATATGTGTAACTGCTTAACAACGAGTCTTTAACATCTTAATGTTCACCAACCATTTCTTCTGAGTCTTTAGCTTATTTTCTTTCTTAGGTATATAAATTAAAAATACTTGCAAACACATTTTTCAACTTTTCTGTAACATTTCCCATCTAAGTTGGATTTTAACCCCATTCTGCCACACTTACGGCCTTTGTATTCATTTTGTAATAATAAAATAATACAGTGGTTGCTGGGACATTTAAGATAAGCTTAGTACAACTGGGAAGTCTAAGGGCCTACTGCTCCATTCATTCAAAACAGCTAGAAAACACTGGAGGAAAAAAATCTGGCTTTGCTCCCTCTCCCTCCTACTTATTTTCTGATTCATCTCTCTGATTTGAGAGGTAGAGACAATGTCAAAGGGCACAAAAATGTGGAACAGATGGAGTCTTTAGTGGAAATCACTTCATCTTCTCAAGCAATCTGAGAAACAAAGGTAACAACACTGACAAAATAATGACTATTCAGTTCTTTTCTTCTTTTATACTGCTTCACTTCAACATACACCGACTATCAAATTTCATTAACAGTAAAGGCTGTTCTTCACTATCAATGACAAGAATTTCCATTTAACCTCCACAATCTCCTGTCTCTGAATATCAAGTTTCCCCATTTGCTTTCAAGCTAAACATGTGCCCTCTCTTTGGGACTCTATTACATTTAAAACGGCTGTAAGTTGTTAAAGAGAGTACTCTCTTGATTCTGAGGATACACTGGCCATAAGAGCCAAAAATAGCTATATAAAATTTAAAAGTTACAGGAAATATAAAAAAGAAAGAAAAAAAACTTTTATTTTTGGAGAAAATAAGGGAAAATCAAAATATGTACAATATAGGGACCAGCAGATGGCGTACTAGTTAATGTCGCTGGATTCTCTGTAGTTGACTGTGTTTAGTGTCTTGGACGGGGCAACTTAAAACTCATGCAGGACGTGTGTACATACATGCCCAAGATCCTGAGAGGAGAATGGAAGAGAAGGGATTGAGGCATGGCCATTCCCCAAGGGGAGTGATTTCTCGCTTTTTGTCTCTCTCTGGTGAGCACACACACCCTAGCAAAAATATCTCTAAAAAATATAAAATAAAATATATACAATATGTTCTCTTAGATTTTGGATCTAAAGACATTTTTCTTATTTTAAGAGTCTACCACATTTAGTGTAATTTTATGGCTTAGAATACTGTATTTTTATAGTTATTAATGAAAATGAATATATTTTACTTTTAAATTTTGTCATAAGTTTTATGGAAAACTAATGTTATAAAAACTTACAAATATTAATCTAAGCTTTCCATGCAACTAGTAACTTTTCCTTCCTTGCCTTACACTCAAACAAGAAGAGTAAATTATTTTCCTCCAGTGGGAAAACCAAAAAAATTGCATAAAAGATTGTTGGTTCCCAAAACATCTTTTTCTTCCAAAGGCCTTAACATGATTTTCACTCAGATAGTATAAATGCTAAATTACCTTAACAGATATTCGACACACCAAGTTTGAAGGAAACCAGAAAATAACCATAAACAGTAACTTTTGAAAGATGAGAGTAACTTACTTGGGCTGAGAATGGAAGAGAAGGGATTGAGGCATGGCCATTCCCCAAGGGGAGTGATTTCTCGCTTTTTGTCTCTCTCTGGTGAGCACACACACCCTAGCAAAAATATCTCTAAAAAATATAAAATAAAATATATACAATATGTTCTCTTAGATTTTGGATCTAAAGACATTTTTCTTATTTTAAGAGTCTACCACATTTAGTGTAATTTTATGGCTTAGAATACTGTATTTTTATAGTTATTAATGAAAATGAATATATTTTACTTTTAAATTTTGTCATAAGTTTTATGGAAAACTAATGTTATAAAAACTTACAAATATTAATCTAAGCTTTCCATGCAACTAGTAACTTTTCCTTCCTTGCCTTACACTCAAACAAGAAGAGTAAATTATTTTCCTCCAGTGGGAAAACCAAAAAAATTGCATAAAAGATTGTTGGTTCCCAAAACATCTTTTTCTTCCAAAGGCCTTAACATGATTTTCACTCAGATAGTATAAATGCTAAATTACCTTAACAGATATTCGACACACCAAGTTTGAAGGAAACCAGAAAATAACCATAAACAGTAACTTTTGAAAGATGAGAGTAACTTACTTGGGCTTTTCCATCTAATGTCACTGTTTAAAGTTTCACCCTTCAGTGTTAGCATTACTTTTAGAAAAATTTATGGGACAGCAACAGAGACAGCTGCCCTAATCAACTAGGTTTAGCCCTTTACAACCCAGAATTGCCCATCGACTTGAAGGACAACATTATAATATAAAAGTACATACCAGGCCAACCTGTATTAAGTTTAGTGCTGCTGGTAAGACACTCATCTGGCAGCTCAGAAATCTAGAGTGTCATCTCCAATTATGGTTTGCTGTATGATTAGGGATAAGTAATCTAACCTGTCCAAGCTTTGAACTTTCATGTACATAGGATGAGGCTAAACTACATAATCTGTAAGATTATTTTCAAATATAACTCTTTATCATTCCTACTATTCTCATTACAATTTCCAGGGATTTCCATTGAGTTACTGAATATTTATTAAACACCTACTGTGTCTCTGGTACAGACAGCGACCCTGACCTCACTGCATTTATGTTTTGTCTGACTGGCCTATTCAAAAATTAGTAGTCAAAACATAATAATAGGATAAATGAGAATATTTGACTTAGAATTAATAAAATGATGAGTTTATGTAATAGTATTGATATGAAGTTCTACACATTTGATAAACCCACAAAATAAGAACATTAAAAGTAATCTGACTAATGAGGATTCATTAGACCTATTACTGATAAAATATTTTAATTAAAACCAAATACTAGTATATTTAGGTACTATTTTCAGACACTTAAAAAACAAAGAAGGTCTATCTAAGGCAAAAAGGCATGATAAAGTCAGCTTGGGTGGAGACAGAATCTCAGACCAATCTCCAACAAGAATACATGCCTGTGTAACAGTCTGTACCGATCCATCCTTGTCAACTTTTAATCCTTCTGACTGATGAAAAAGCATGAGACATCTGTTTATTTTAAGTACATGCTGGTGGCCGGCTTCATTATTTTCACCTTTCTCTGTACAACTGTACAAAGAATTCATCAAGTATTTAGGACACACACAAAATGCACCCCCTTGAACTAAAAAGACAACTCAGGTGATATGAACACAAGAAAATTAAATTCTTGAAGGGAGTTAAAAAAAAAAAATCAATGACATTAATATAAGGTAAGACAGGTTGTAAGGGTAGGCAAAACTTCCTGAACTCAATATGGTGCACCCTGTTAAGATAAAAGTAAATAAAACTGAGAGTCCCTATTAAGAGGAACAGAAAAGAAAACGGAGAGGAGACATTTATTCAGCACTTAACAGGTGCCACACACTCACTATGCAGGTAGTTTTCACTTATTCTTCTCAAGAACTCTATACATGAAAATAGCACCAAGCAGGTGATCCTCTACAAGAGAAAACCACTCCCCTCATAAAATGATTTCAAAGGACCAAGAAGGAGTCTCTCACAAAACACACTGTTGACATAACAATCACTCTACTCTGCATGTTTGTGTATGGAAATAATAGAACAGAGGTCTTAGGTCACCTAGGCAACCCATCCATCTTAAGGATGCTGAAATTTAGCTAGAAAAGGTGCTTGACAAAGGTCGACACTTATTTGGGAGCAAAGTTGGAATCACACCAATAATATAGACATTCATATGCCATTCTACTGGTAACTGTGAAATTTAGTTATCTAATTTAGCTCCTCACTAAGTTACTAAACACTTGCCTAGTGGGACTCTATTAAAATAATCATAAAAACCCGTTTGGACAAATATCCCCAGTATCTCCCAACAATAATCTGCCTTTTGGTAAAAACCCATGGAGGAGGAGGAACCTGCGTTGGAACATTTCCCTCCTTCCCCGAGTGCCCTCCTCAGAGAGATCCCAGATGCAGAGCCTGTCCATGAACGCGCGCGCGCGCGTGCAATCAGGTCGCTGAGGTAAAGCTTTCCTCAGATAAACCCCCGCGTAGACGATCCCGGTCCCGGGCTCCCAGCCCTCGTCGCGATTCGCGACCCCGCGAGCCGGCGGGGAAGACGGAGGATGGGTGGGCAGCG